TATTATGAGATGGAAAAAGATAATGTCATTAGTTATCTATTAGGTAAGCCTCTTTTTCTTATTTTTCTTGGTACCATGAAAAGATTACGTCATGAAGACTTCATCAAGATAGCACCATATTAAGTAGTGTAAGTATTTCTCTATTAGATATCCTTTTTCCTTTCTCCTTTTATGTTCCTTTTTTAAAGTACCTATATAATGATTAGCAAGTTTAAGTGTTGATTTATGTTGTCCAATTTGCTGGTACAATCACAAATCCTAGCTTAACTAATGAACTATCCCCAGGCTAATTTCCAATGATTTTTTACATATTAAAAAAGGTTTTCTCCACATTTAAAAAAAAAACCTTACTCGTTGAATGTGGTTAAATTTCTTTCCAGCTTAAGTTGTTTTTATGATTGTTAACCTACATCGTTAAATATGCATATTTTTTATTTCTTGTGTAAACTAGTTGTTATAACTTACTTCGAGGCTAAGAATTATAATGCCCAACTAAGATTGCTCTTGATAAAAATAGTATATTTAATTTTATATCAACCAAGGCACTTTTAAGAGCTAACTTATCAGAGCCCCATCTACATCTTTTCAAAGTTTGTTAGGAAGATAATAGATTGTTTGTTGTAATTAACCAGTAGGTACATACTTCTTATTAAACAAAGTAGTTATGATAATAAAATATAGTGAGATGTCCTTCCTATGGACAAAAATTATGTCTTTTTAAAAAAAATAATGAATTGATATTATGAATGTTATAAGGTAATGGAAACACTTATATGTTTAAATATAAAAGAAAGACACCCAAAATTACTCTCAAACAAACCAAAAAAAAGACTCTAAAAAATACCACGAAAGATTAATTTAGAGATCTTATGTAATAACCATGATTTTGTCTTAAGACCGAATCGAAGCGGTTCAATTTTTCTTTTCCCCAATCTGGTTCCTATCATCGCCTCCTCACACCACTTGTTCTTTAAGTTATTGGGATTGTTTCATTTGGTTCTTGGACAAAAAATGAGCGGGCATGAGCAGAAGAGAAATCATCTGTGTGTGTGTGATCTTTAGAATGAGAGACAAGTGATTTTTCAATCGAGAGAGAGTTATCGAGCGGGATCCATGTATCTGACCCATTCGAGTGAACCAGAAATGATAAAGAGAGTCAAATGTCCAATTTGTATGATCCTGAGGAGCAAACAAGAGAGGGTTGCGTGCGATTGCTCCTATTGAAGATAAATCTGAGAGCCCAATGTGGGATTTTTTAGAAAAGAAAGAGCATCAAAGTGCGATCCAAGAGACTTGACTTCCTCTTTTCCTTATTATTTTTAGGAAAGGATTGTGGATCACTACATGTTGAAACAAGAAAGATTGGCATCATGATTGAAATGTTCAATTGCTTCTAACAAGAAAGAGCAACAAGTTAGGGCATGTTCCTTGCTACTTATAGTATGTTTTAATTATTTATATGATATAATGTGTTTATTCATTATTAATATTGCAAGTGAGCATTTTGATATGGTGTGATAATTAGCTTTGCCATAATTATTGTTGCACAAATTTTAAAAATTTCACATATATTTTGATTACTATGCATAACTATCACCCTACAAATTATGAATTATGTAATATATAACCAAACTTAATTGTGTTATAACTTTTAGCAAGAACTATTACTATAATATGATAAGCATATAAAATATGCTTGTGTCTGATACATGTAATTTCAGTATAGAACCTTATTGGTTATTGGCTAGCCGGGGCCAACAGGTCTTTAGAGTGACGACTCTATAGGAAATCACTGGATTTTCTTGAGATTGGTGCTTACCTTTCTCAGAAGGATATCGTAGTTAATTGACTATAAATATTTATATGTTGGTATATAGAGAAAACAAATGACTAATGAGTCATTGGTAGATGAATAAATATCAAATGCTTGTAAGTGAATGTGTCTGCATTTAAATATATGATTATTAGTTGGCACAAATAATTCTTTGTGAGTTTTGTTAGATAAGAATCTACAATAAATGAAGTAAGCATATTTAAAATCTCTTATTTTATATGTTATTTGCAGCTATTTTTTCAGTGTTTATCTTTTATTTATGTCCCTCTCTTTGCTCGTATTTGTGCCTCATGACTTGTTGTTTATGTTTTCTTTAGTAGGGTTTTACCTACTAAGTTTGTTCTTGCAAACTCAAACATATTACTCATAATTTCATGTTGCTAATTGGGTTGCTTCTAAAGGAACTTCTAGGTTCATACATCCGTTTCATCAATGATAGGTAATTAAGGTTAGAGTTATTTAATATATTCAATTGTGTAATGAAATTTCATTTATGTTTGGTGGACATTTAGTGTGTGTTTTGGTTTAGATGCTATGATGATTTACTGGTGGATATAAATTATTAAAGTCTTTTATAACCATTGAATTGAAATTATTTTATAGATTTTGTTCAACTCGCACCCTATCATTAGAATCATGTGATTTTTTCTCAGGCTTGGTGAGAGGTGTGACACCTTATGCATGCCTCTAAGTGAAAATAAGGATGCACATGATATCTTTGATGATTCATTTCTCATAGGCATTTCCACTTGCTTTAATGTCTCTCTGATGTCTCTTATAGATGACATACCCCATTGACCCATCATTTGATGTTCTCTCCTTATAATGATGATAAATCTATAAAATTTGAGGCATACAAATCTAATTTATACCTAGAACCTTAAGTAGTTATTCTTGACACACATAATAAAGAGTTGTTTATTGATATATATTTTAGCTATTATCCACAACCCATCATTTACTATTTCCTTGAATATCTAATATCTGACCTCTTAGAGTCCATTGAACACCATGAATTTATTGATCTCTTAAATGATTTATCTCTGTTATTCAACATAAATATCCTATATCAATAGTTTATGAATGTTGGCAAATTGTTAGTAGCACATTACTTCAATAACCTTCATTCATTAGTGCAACCTTATGTTGGCATGAGTAATGATGCAATTTTATAATTAAGTTACAAAATAAACATAAATAATCATATAAGTATGTTGGTAATGGATGTATTTTTTTTCACATTGGAGCATATGATGCATATGAAAATTAAGCCACATTATTATTATTATTATTATTTTATCATCTAAGCTTACTATTTATCGTGTTTATGATTTTTTTTTTCACTTCATGTGATTTATTACTTTCTAGAGGAATTATTAAATGTCAGAGTTGGCAGATTAACTCTTTGGTATAAAATAAAGAACCCCTTTTGTATGTGCTCTTATTTATATGATTATTAATGCCAATAGAAACTCAACTACTCATGCTACCATTTATAGGCCTTACTACTCTTATAAGCATCCTATCACCTTTTACATGCCCAAATACATAAATTTGGAGCCTAGGGTTATTCTTCTTGATACATAGAAAACAAAAACTCAGTAGACTAGAGTTCTTTTAATCTTAGGAGAGTTAATATAGAATATCAAGAGGAGCTCCAAAAAAATCTTACTATCTTTATGTTTATTTTAATGTGTATGGTTATTGTGATGTGAAATTGAGGTTGTTGTCATTTGAAGTTTATGCTATTATTGTAATATGTAAATATTAGTAGTAGTTAGGAATGATATTATGTGAACTTTATTAACATATTAAGAGGTCACGAAGTTTGTTTATGCAAGGGTCATGCAAGAGTTTGCTAATCAAGGAATTGCTAATGGAGCCAACCAATATATGGAGAAGAGTTAGGAATTAATGAATCTAAATAAGGCTCCACCACCTCCACTCTCTTAGAATTGGTAGTCTCCATCTTCCACTTTTTAACATATCATTTTTTTTTCTTGTTTAGTATTTAAAATGAAGAGAAATTTGCTACAACGATATTTAGTGATTATTTTAATGACCCTTGAGGAGATTTCAAATTGAATTTCCAACATTTGATAATTTGTATAGTCCTATTAAATCACAATAGATTTATTAAAGTCTCCCTTATAGAATGTGAGCTATCTATGGATAATATAGATTTTCCTTAGATGTTGCATATGTAATTAGTGATGCTATATTTTGGATTCAATCTCAAACTAGTCTATTCAATTCAAATTAGATTTGAAGAAGCTTCACTCGTTAGTCATAGTTGACTTGTTAACCCTTCTGTAAACTTGATCTATCAAATCATATCTTATTATCGAGTGGTCACAATGAATTCCATCAACCTTAGGCAAAAGGGTGTTAAGTATTAATCTGACCCGATAAATCGACCCAAAAAATTTAGGTTATGATCGACCACTTAACAAACCGATCAGATTTAAGTTTTGATTTTTTACTAGTTTAAAAAATCGGATCGGGTCAACGTTAACCCACTAACCTGAATTTGACCTATCCTGACCTGGCAATTCACTCGACTCACGGCTTGCCCTTGCGTAGGCTGCACGCACTCGCGGTCTCGTGCACAATGCCCACGTAGGTGACTCGCTCTTGCTAGACTCGAACGCGACACACACTCGTGTTGCACAATGCAATCGCACGATCTGCCCTCGTGTGGTATGCCCTCGCCCTCGCCAATCAGTCCACACTCAACAGCTCCACGCTAGCAGGTCGTGTCAAGTCAACCCGATAACCTAGTGGGTTAAGTCCGGGACTGAATTTTTAACCCTTTTATAAAATCGGTTGGGTTCGGGTCAGATGATTTGAACCCGAGTCAATTCTAGGTTTGATCCGAACCCGACTTGAATATCCATTTTGACATCCCCACTTAGGGTGCTATTTTGGTTCTTTTTTGAGTCAATTTTAAATAAGATTTTACTTACATTGTACAAAATAGGATATTGGGCTTTAAATTTCTTTTTTATTTTGCTTTGATAATTAATAAATTTTCCGCTCTCACAAATCTTTAAATCAAAAGTAAATTGCAAAATAATTTAAAAAAATTTATAAATTTTAATGCTTGTGAGGCCTAATAATTTTTATATTTTAACACCTCACAATTTATTAAATCTGAATTAACAGCATTTTTGAGTTAAATCGTTGAGTTCAATTAAGCTTGACCGTCGCCGCCGGATCATCCCTCTCTCTGAGCTCGGAAAGATATGAGATCGCTACTCCACCCTCCTGAGCCCATTCTCTCCTCCTCCCCCCTCAGCCACCTCTTCGTCGCCGTCCGCTTTTCGTCTTCCGTCACCAGCTTACGGTGCCGTTCACAGCCACCGGTGATGGCTTCTTCAGCTGCATCCGCCGCCCGCCTCAGCGAGCTCGATGGAAGTCTAAAGCGCAAGGAGGAGAAGCTGTGGGGTGGGCGCTTTGAGGAGAGCGTGACCGATGCGGTCGAGCGCTTTACCGAGTCCATCTCCTTCGACAAGCAGCTCTACAAGCACGACATCATGGGTAGCAAAGCGCATGCCGCCATGCTCGCTCATCAGGTGCCGTACTCTGCCTCGCGGTCCTATCTCTTCCATCCTGTCAGTCGAGATAGTGCGTGTAAATATGACTGTGGTTTTAATAAAGGGTTTTTGTTCTCGATTCACCTTTTTTTTTTTCTTTTTGGCTTATGTACATGGCGATTGTAGCTTTAGTTTTAACTTTTTTTATGTGTAAATCATTACTTTTGCTTCAAAGGTTGCTTCTTCGCATTTTGTTAATGGTTTTCCAGTTGTTTTAGGCATTTGTTACCGATGTGGCTTCTTGTAAACTGCAACAAGCTTGTAGCTTGGTCATGTGAAGGTTTGACATTTCCCTCCAGTAGTCGCAGCCAAATTGTTTGATGAAATTACCAATGTTTTTTCCCTTGGAATTCCGCTGCTTTGTGTAGGATGCGATGCTTTGGCATTAATATTTTATTGCCCATAAAGAAAATTTTGAATCTTTTGAGATGAGAATAAAGGACGTTTGATCAGTAGAGGTTGTGATTTTGTATGCAAATGACTCTGGTTTTCATTTATAGTGTCATTTAATATGCTTACTTCTCTTCCCTTAAAAAATTGCTCCCTTGAACAACCTACACTGAATCATGGTATGTAACTTTCAGTTGTTAGATTTATTTTGGATAGAGAAGGAAAGAGGAAGTTTTTTTTTTTCTGATGTTCGTTCTCCGTGAGGATTTTTTTACACAAGAAGCAAGAAACATGAATGATAGCTTGCCTTATTTGAAGCTTGATAGTTTCATCCCCTTAAAAAATCTAAAAGCATTTAACTTTCTGCTTGTGGAAACGCCCAATCAGCTGAAACGCTTCAACTCTGATTGGGGTTTTGATGCGATGAAAGTTTATGTTGTAATGGAACGTTTTACAATAATGCCTCTTGAGATGAAGCTCGTGCATTTTGTATTATGTTTTTTTTCCCTTTGTTCCATGCGATTATGAGCTTTGCTACATAATCTGATAAATTCAGTGATTAGGGATTGATCACTGCCATGGACAGAGACCGCATATTGTCTGGTCTTGATGAAATTGAGAGAAGAATTGATGCGGGGAAATTTGTTTGGAGAATGGACAGGGAGGATGTGCACATGAATATAGAAGCAGCATTGACTGATTTGATAGGCGAACCTGCAAAAAAACTTCATACTGCTAGAAGTAGAAATGATCAAGTTGTGACTGATCTTCGGTTGTGGTGCCGAGAAGCCATTGATAGAATCATTGCAAGGATTGGACACCTTCAGGTATGTTCTAGGCCTTCCACTTGCATTTATTTCTCTTTTGATTCATTGTATTTATCATGCTGAGTGTTAAAAATGGCATCCCAATCTTTTAATTCAATAATCATTTTTACCCCTCTATGGGGCTATTTGGTTGGCTGCAAAGTGAATGCAGCGTAAAATAAATACTGTATAAAGTAAATATTTTGAAGTTGTTTGGTTGTCTGTATAGTAAATGCAGGGGGACCATTTTTTCTATTTGGTTAGGTGATGCAAAGTAAAGTAAAATCAGTGTATTCTGAATACTTAGGGTTGTTTGGTTGAATGTCTATAGAGTAAAGTAAAAATATTCTAATTTGATCAAATATTTTGAGTCCACATTAATATTTATAATTGTATGAGATTTTAAAAATATTTATATACATTAATAAAATACTTTGCTATACAAACTATCATGACTTTGCACTTTTTACCAGACTAGCAACACATCAATTGTAAAAATAATACTATCAAATCTATAGCATACCAATTCTTTTATGTTAAATGAAGCTCAATAGAGGAGTTAAAATCTACAATAAGAAAACTCTAAAAAATTAAAAATATCAAATCAAAGTCTCAACACTCAACAAACTTAACAAAGATTACAACAGTATTTTTTGGCATTCAAAAGATGCCATCTTTAATTCTCCTTGTATATGCTATTATCAACCATCTATTCTCTCATTGCAAGAACATTTGTAATATAAAATAATAATCAAACCGATGAAAATGTTAAAGAATGAAATCCAATACAGAGTGTTAAAGCCATAAAATACCAATTTCTTTCTTTTGATGCAAATGAATCATTTGTTTAACTCTTTTTGCATCTATCTAGCCTTTGATTCCTTAGGTTCAGAGAGGAAGGAATGAATCATTGTTGTGTTCTTAGATAAGTTATCATATATAATATCAATCTCTTTCTTTGAAAATCTGGAATGCTAGATGACTCTGTCATGAGCTCACTAAACATTTTTCTTTCCTCAGAAGCTCTTTTTGTTTGAATTGCATTAGTAACTTGAGATGCACTATTAGCCATCATTGCAATATGATCATGAAGACTATCATCATCATCATGCCTTTTACTCTTTTTCTTTTGGATGGACCCCTTAGAAGATGAAGGTGTTCCTCGCTTTGTCATTCCTACAAGGTATTCTCTAACGCTTTGTTCAAGACAATCATCATCTATTGATGTATCCACAAGAGTCTCCACAAAATCAATTGTCTCATCATCATCTAAGTTAATATGCTGAGTACCAAATGGAGCTTGACAATTTCCTGACCTAACTCAATCTCCAGTTGCATGACGTTCACCATAAACTTAATCTAATTCTATATAATTTTGGAGAGGAATGTTAAGATATATTGCATCTTTGGGAAAAGCCTAAAATTATTCAGATAAGTAAGCGTAAGAGATAGATTACATCTTTGCATTTGTAAAAACTCATCTAAATTTTAAGTATTACCTGGATATGTGATAGACACTCCTCTTGACCCATCAAGATAGTCTTCGTACTGTCATCCCAAGACAATCCAAACTTCTTTCTTAATTCATGGATATGAGTCCAAACACTTTGTTGATATCTAATATGATTCTTGCATTGCTCAGCCATGACCTCAATACTAAATTTCTCTTTTAGTTTTTGAGCAGCACCTTCATAAATAGTATCTTTGAAGCCGTTAGTACTTCTCATGCTAACATTGACATGCTCACACATTATCTGTAATAACCCAGATGTCGATTCAGGTTTTAGACTCCATAGAAAGTTTTCCCCTTCTTAGATTTGGCACTTAATGCACTAGATGGACCTTTATAGAATATTTCTTCTAAAATCTCTCACCTTTAGAGAGTTATAGCTCCAATCAAATTAAGAAAAATCCACCTATTTTATGGCGCAGAATCATTCCACATCTGACAATCTTAGCAACTGATTCTCCTCATCCTCTCATATTAATAAAATTAAAAAAAAAACAAAATATTTTAAAAATGTAGAGGTAGATGTAAAAAGTCTTGTTTAGAAAATATTAGAAATGACCTTTCTTTATTAGATTTAAATGAGAGTTTGACTCTTAACATGACAATGGAGAAAACGGATTCATGTAGCTGACTCCATATAGTGGGATAAAGGTTTGACATTGTTGTTGATGATGATGATTACTTTCTTGTTAACTTGTGCTGATCTTGTTCCTTCCTCCATCAATGAAGTCAATATAGAGATATTTCTTTTGCAATTGTGATAATGTACTTTATTTTTATCATTCACAAGTCATTCATCATCTTATGTCACATCATTACCATAAAAAAATCTTCATCATCCTCCAAAACTTTTCAAATGTTTATCTTTTAATCTTTTATTATACATAATATAAACTAAATAGCTAATGAGTTCATTCTTATGCTTGTTAAATGATTTTTCCTCTTGGTATGTTTTTGGTATGACTATGCAATTCTTGATTCTATTTGTTTTAGGTATATGTATAGAAAATTAACTAATTATGAGTTATTATATGTATAAATTTAGAAATTAAAAAATTGAAATTACCTAATCTTTGTTTTTGAAGCTTGTGCCTCAGCCCAATGAGGCGTACGACTCATCGCATTTTTTTTCAAAATTATGCTGGGACATGCCTCTTATTATGTAATTCAAATAATAGTCCAATGCTAGTGATGATTTTGATAATTTATTTGATTGATGCTTTGCATATTAATTATCATTTATTAACCTACTGAACTTAAATTTTTTTTTTTTTAATGTTTTGTTATATTCTCGAATTTTGTGAGTAATTGCTTATATACTGTCATTTTACCATATGTTGCTTGCAGCATGGTGAAAGACATTGCAAAGCATCTGTCTAACCTCAGGTCAAATGCTGCATTGCAGGTTGCTTTGGTTAAGCTAGCCATGAAAAATGAAGGATTGATAGTCCCTGGATATACGCACCTGCAGAGAGCACAACCTGTTTTGCTTCAACATCTTCTATTGGCCTACGTTGAACAGGTTAATAGTCCATTCTATCAAATTTTTTGTTATAGATGAAGGGTAATCTTTATACATTCTTGTATCATAGCATGACTTGGATCCATTAATTAACCTATCCAGTAATTCACTGGGAAAAGGATTTCATGCTGATTGCAAACAAATTGCTTTCTAAATCGCATGCGATCAAATCATCTCTTCCTTTACTATGGCAGAATTGTCTGGCTTTATTATGGCCAAGCCCAAATCCCAATTTGACCTCGGTTTAAGCCGTGCACATAGTTCTTGAGCTCAGCCTTTCTAGTTGTATAAATGTCTACCATGTAAAGATTTTATTCGATTTTGTGAAAATAATACATTATGTGTACCTTAATATAAAAGGTAATAATAGATCATATAGTTTGTGCTTATACATCTTAGGCATACCTAATGCATGGACCTCTTGTTAATATAGGGTCTTAAGAGGGGTTGATGTACATTAGTAACAATAAATATGTTAATTTTATTTATTTCTAACTTTGTATTGTATAAACAACGCTCAAAATAAGGAGTTTCCATCATAAAGTATCAATGATTCATACTTGGTGGTACACTTTCATTAGTCTTAACAGATTCATGAAAACTCTGTTAGAATAAAGATATTAATTTCATTTGGTCTTTTTTTTTTTAACTTCATTTGGTCTTGGTAAAGGAAAGCTTGATAAGTAAATTTTTCCGTGGGTTGAAATAATTGCTACTGGTACTTGGATTATTATACTTTTCCTTGTGTTTATATTTGATAAAAATACATGGAACATTTTAATAACCAATATAGCAGAATATTTTACTCAGAGACTTCAGAAAGAGTAACGTTAGATGTGTATGCTATAATGATCATGAAGATGCCGTTATGAAAAATTAAAGACAACTCATTATCAACACAACATCAATATCTTGGATTCGACATCTAGAGTGATAATAATGAATTATGTGACCTCAAGTAGAGAACAACCATTCTAGCTAGCAAGGTATTTCTTAGAAGGAACTTTCTCTAGAATAGCATTTAGCAACACATGTTCATAAATAGTACATACAAGTATGATACTTTTCTGATGGTATTTGGTTTAAAACCAGAGCTATATATATATGCTTTATTTGGACAGTAGCATCACTTTTTATTTTATTAAGTACCCAAAAGAACAAAACTACAAGCATTATTGTAGTTGATTGCTTTGTCTCTCCCCCTCACCATCATGTGTATCAATATGCTCCTAATATTCTTTATCATTTTCAATCTCAATCGCCTTCCTCTTAATCAATAAGCCCAATAAGAATATTATTTAAAATAATGATTATATTGATCTTTAATCATTTATATTACATAAAGTTTTGTACTAAAATTTTCTATTGCTTGTCGACTTTTGATGTTCTTGTTCTTTCCTCCATCAAGGAAGTAGTCAGCATTGAGATCTTTCTCATTTATTTATAATTGTGAAAATCTATTTTAACTCTCCACAAACTAATCGTAATCAGATGGTATATCATTAATAATGGACACTTTATAAAAAGTTGCAAAAAATGAAAAGAGAGGCATGTGCCTCTTTAAAAAGTCTCAAAGCAGTCTCACTAGTTTAAGGTGTGCACTTCTTTTTCCTACATGAGACTATAGCCACAAGGCACACAACTTATTGCATAATTTTAAACTTGGTTATAGTATTGAATAGTATAGTAAAATAATATTATATAATATAGTTTAGTATAATACACTAGAATAGAGTACTTGATGTAGAACGGGTAGGAGGGGTTTTCTAGGGAAAGAAATCTGAAACAGTTAAGATTTTCCTCCCAAAATCTGAGAGGAACTTGAGCAATCCAGCAGCAGAGGAAGAGCACCGTTCCCAATCGCGAGAGAAATTCAGATTTCTCTCTTGAAAAAAATATAGAATTTAGGAGTAGGAGAGAGGATGTGGGCTTTAGAACTCAAGTGAGAGGTTGCTTGTGATGAGAGAAGGTGGGGAAGCAAACTCCAAACCTCTGTCAATGAAATCTGAAAATAATTTCAACTATTTTGTTTCCAAAAGCTGCTTGGAAAATTCGGACCCCTAAGCTTAGGAATAATGGCTTGGGGGAGAATTTAAGGCTCCCAATCAATTCCTGTAATAGCATAGGAAAGAAGTTATGAGAGGGAGGGAAGTGAGGCGGTGGGAAAAGTGAGGCGGTGAGGGAGAGCAAGGCAAGCGGGATATTGATGGATTTTGGAAAGCTTTATTTCCTAAACCAGTGAGTTAATCTTAGGAGTAAAAATTAGGAAATTTGGCTTTAGAAAATTCGGCCAGGGCATGGGAGTTAGGAAATATTTCCAAAAGTGGGGGGATAGGAATTAGAAATAAATTTCAATCCCAAATTAAAGGGGGATGAGAGAAGATTTTTAAATCCTAATAAAATAGAAATTGATTTGAATTTAGGAATTAGGAAAGAATTCAAATTTCGAATTAGTTGGATTTGAATTTTGAAAACCGCCCAAAGTTAAATCACCCAAATTAAATTTGAATTACATCATGAATGAGATTCAATACTTTCCTAAAATAGCTTTCTAGTTTAGGAAATTAATTGAAATTCAAAATTTGAATTTCAATGGATGAAAATAATTTCCTAAATTATTTGAACTTTTTAGGTAATCTTTAAGATGACATTGACTCCTCATTCATGGAGACAAACAAGGGTGGCCAGCGGTGGAGGAGCTAATGGGGGAAGGTGGCCGGCGGCTATGGGGAAAATTCGTGGAGCTTGGTATGGAGGTTTGGCCAAGGGATTGAGCGGGAAGGAGGAAGGATGACAAGATGAATACGACTACGGGGAACAAGAAAAGAAACAAAACAAAAACAAAGATAAAAACGAAAGATAGAAGACAAGAACCGCGAGCCTCGGACTCTTCCGAAGACTGACCGGTGAGGCTTTGCCCTTCTCCAAGGGACTTCAAATCATGAGTCCGGACCCATCCTGCAGCTGGTGAAGACTCCGATTCCTCTCCATAGAAATCTCACTAACGCTCTCTCACAAGAACACAAGTGTGGACACAAATTTTTAATATCAATTCTTCATCTCTATTACAATAGCTTAAGGCCCTATATATAGGCCACAACATGAGAAAAATCAAAATTACAAAATTGCCCCTTGGGCCACAATACTCAAATAAGCTAACCTAGGGGTAAAACAGGAAATAACATAAAATAAGAGCTAAAATTCATAAAATAACTCATAAATGACAATTTAAATTAGAGCTGTCGATTTACGATGCCTCCTGTGATAGATGCGTCAAATCTTCGTGCCGATGTCCGCATCAGTACTTTAGTATACTAGAGTTTTTTCAGATAATATGGTATAATAAAATGGTATGCTATAAAATAGTATATTATATCAGATGGGTATTAGGAAAATGAAATATCGTCCTTTATCTTCTCACCCTTCTTCTTCCTTATCTCAACACATATGATGCACTAATACCTATGATGCACTAATACGAACATGGTAACATGAACACCATACAACAGGGGCATGGGACACGTCTATCATCGAAAATATTGAACATGGGTATGACACAGACACAACATTATCATTTTCAAATAGTGCGTAAATATTAATATAGTATCATATTAAAAATGACGAATAAATAATAAATAAATAGCATAATTAGTTGTTTGACTTATAATATAAAAAATTTAAGCATAAAATGTCTAGTACATTAAAAAAATATAAGCAAAAACTATTTAGTACAATATCAAGTTTGATTAGGGAATTGCAAAAGGACCATTTTTCCCTCACTTAAACTATTTCCGCATTAATATTTAGTAAGGGTAGATTGGGTATTACAAGATTTTGATTAATTTTAACTCCAAAATTAAGCAAAATTAAATATAAGTTATGTATACCAAATCGTTCAGAATTTTCGTAAAATTTTATAAGATTATTTCTGTCAAAATCTGTTGACTTTGAAATTTTACACTTAAATCTCATCACAGCGCTTTGAAAAGCATGCGATGTCTAAAATTGACATTTTTCGGGTTTTATAATTAGATACTTTCCTTACACCAAATCCTGAAGATATTGTAAAGCAGAGAAAAGGTGAGTTTAGCAAAGAAATGGATGTAGCTAAAAATAAAAATGAGGGGAAGGGTTAGTCAAGTTTTTTATAGATGGATGTATGATATTGGATTCCATTTAATACTATAAAATATGATAGTTTCCCTGTTATGGTCGAGACACTTGGACAGTTTAGACATGGAATGAAACCTCCTAATTAAGATGAGGTATGAGTTACTTGTTTAAAGAAAGATGTTGGACATACACGTACTCTATTATGATGTCATCAAGAATGTTTATGATATGTTTGTTCTCTAATGACAGCTGAATGGACGTCGAGGAATGGAAAAAACCTAATCAATTTTCCCGAAAGATAACACATTTGTAGAGTCAATTGATGCTAGTTCTTTTTCCAAGAACGCTGTGAAAATGTTTGACCTTTTTTGCAAGTACATTAAGATTATTGGACCACATAATGTGATCCAAGTTATTATTGATAATGCATCTGAAAATATTCTTGCAGGTTTATCACAACTTATAATCTAAACTTGTGTTATTTCATATGAAAGATGAATTTTTGGTCTTAACTTAAATTATAATGACATTACAGGAAAGTTATTGATGGACAAATATACTCATATTTGTTGGACTCCTTGTGCTGCTCACTGTTTAGATTTAATAATGGAGGACATTTTTAAAATTCAAAAGCTAAGGCGAAGCTTTGAAAAGGCTGTCGCAATACATAATTTTATATATTCTAGGTCTCGCTTACTTGAGTTGAGTTAATGAGAAGGTGCACAAATCAAAGGGCACTTGTCAAACCTATTAAGACTCTTTTCGCAATAGTTTTTTTAACTTTATAATGATTTCATCAATAACAATTGAACTTGAAGAAAATATTTATTTATAAAAAGTTTATCTTGGGTCCTTATGCAAAAGAGACTAAAGCAAAACAATCTCAATATATAATATTGTAGCAATCATTTTGGAACACTATAGTGTATGCCTTAAAAATAACTCATCATTTATTAAAGATTCTTAGATTGGTTGATGGAGAGGAAAAGCTCCCAATAGCTTACATATATAAAGCAATAGATAGAGCAAAGGAGGTAATTACTGCAAGCTTCAATAACAATGATAAGTTATTATTAAATTTTTAAAATTATTGATAGAAAATGGGAAGTGCAATTACACTAGCGCCTTTACAGGCAATGGCACAATTTTTAAATCCTAAATATTTCTTCAATAACCCTAATATTACCAAGGATATGGAAATAATTGATGGTCTTTATTAATATATTGAAAGATTGTCTAGATATATAGATGAAGAAGACAAAATCAATAATGAATTAAGTTTATTCATTAGGGGTGAAAGATTATTTGATATTCCTCCAACTGTATGACAAAGAACTATCCGATCTCCAGGTATTATTATTTACATAAAATGAAGATTGGTTTGCAAGTATATAATATTGAAAATTAATATTTTATTTCTTCCAACTGATTGGTGGTTGACATATGGCCAAGAAACTCACAATTTAAAAAGTTTTGCTATCAAAGTCTTAAGTCTAACAAGTACTTCATCCAGACGCGAATACAATTGGAGTATTTTTGAACATGTAATTATTTTTATGGAGTATGTGCTATTTTTTTTCTGTATGTTCATAATATAGTAATGTAATAATGTTTCAATTGCAGTTTCATAGCAAACAAAAAATCAAATTAGATCATGGTCGCTTAAAGGATTTAGTTTATATAAAATATAATAGAATATTGATTCGGAAATATAATCATAGTGATGTGATTGATCATATTTCTTTGATTGAGATAAACGATGCAAATGAGTGACTAACATGAAAATTAGTTGATGAGTCTGAAGGCAAAGAAAAGGAATTTAAGAAAGACGTTGTTGGAGAGGAAGATTTAACTTGATAGATATTTTTTAAGGCTATTGATGTTTATGATAAAAGCCACAACATTCGGGAGAGATCTAAAGGCAAAGAGAAGGAATCTTCATCTAAGCAAGACGTTGTTGCTATTAAGAAGAAGGATGAGGAGGGTGATGAAGAAGACTATGAAGTAGGTGACAATGCTGATGAAGATAAAGAAGCTTTTTTGACATTTGTTGATGATCATTATTCCCAAGAAAAGTAGATTAAATTCTTATAAAATCATTAATCTTTAAAAAATGATTGTAATATTTTAAATTATTAGATATTTGAGGTGGATTTTACTTGAACATATATATGACTATGGTTATCTTTCATTATTATGATAGCTTGCTAGTTATCTTTCAGTTTAATAATATTTTATATTCGTACTTATATTTTATAATTATTGTATAGTTTGCACCATGTTCAAAATGGCAAGTGTCGCATCGTGCACTATGTATCATGGCTCCAAATAGACCTTTGCGTATGGGCTTTCTCGTCGCTGAGTGCCAAACCCTACCATGTATATACGAAGAGATGAGTAGTCACTATGAAACAAGAGAAAAAAATAAAAAAGCCTCGTACCTTGGCATGATAGACACTCGCTTCAACCGATGTTGTCAATCTCGTCACATGCAGAGACCAGGAGAGTGTGAGAGATTGAGTAATGGAGGTCATTCGTAGACCTTCATATGTGTAGATCTAGTGTCGTTATACATAGATCTTCAAAAGTAGCGAGCCAGCAATCAAGTGAGCCCTAAATGAGTTGAGCGAAAGAGTGACAGTTGAAAGAAATGGGCTGTTAGGTTATTAATATAATTTTATTTACTAAAAATTAATTTATAAATCATAAATTTAAAATATTACATTTTAAATAATTTTAAAAATAAATATAGGGACATAATGTCCAATTTTATCAAAATATTATTTTAATCGAACACATTCTCATTGTGTTTGACACGTGTCCCAACCATGTTGGACATGTGTCCGTGTCTGATACATATTCGACACTGTATGTCACAAACTTACTCGATATGACTCGAAGCTATATGGGTCATACCATATCTGATTGTGACAAGATTTACCACAAGATCTAGTTGGAAAAGTACTGAAATAAAATTTATAATTTATATACTACACAGAGCCACTACTGAATGTAATATTAAGCGCAAGACTACTGATTCTCAACATAATTTTTTATATATAAAAATATATATATAATCTGAGGCTATCTACAACAGCGCTTGACAATAGAGAGAATAACAAATAAAAGTCAAGCCTGCAAAAATCAAAACTAACCAAAAAATACTTACAACACAGATTAGAGCTTGTTATCCAAACAACTCAGCTCGCTCCTTACCTTTCCTCAGGCCTGAAATTACAAGCAAAAGCAGGGACGACCTAGCACGACTTAGTAGGCTATTGTAGTCTAAAATAAAAATCAATAACTAAAATCAAAAGAACTGAAATAATAACATTGCATACAATTAAACAAATATTGAATTTAACTAAATTATAAATAAATGCTTCATAATTATTATCAGAATAGCTCTTAAGCCTAAATTTATATATATTTTTGTTACCAAAATCTCACGTCGGCACCACTGGCACTGGCATAAAAGAATCCCACCTCGGTCGCCCACTAGTGCCTACTTAACAGAATCTCACCTCGATCGTCCACTAATGCCGGCATAATAACACTTCAGTAATAGAATCCCACCGTGATCATCCATTGGGTGATGGCATCGCAATACTGTAACAAAATCCCTTCTCGGTCGCCCACTAAGACCGACATCACATCACCATACATCACATTACATTTCTTTCACATTTTTCAATGCAATTCATTAATTAAGGCATAATTGGACTGAATTAAAAAATTGTCAAAATGTTCTAATGGTAAACAACATATATGTTACTGATAAAAAATTCACAATTTAAAAACATAACCAAATTATCATAGATTGTGTTAAAAATTAATTTTAAACTTTAATTGAATTGAATCACTATTTTAGATGTCAAAATAATTTCTGAGTCGGTAAAAATTGCTTCTTTTTTCAAAATAATCATGCAAACAATTTCCATAATATACTCAAAATTTTTATAATCTCAGTCTTTATGACATATAAAAAGTTACGCAGTAAAAATATTGCTAAAACAAAGTTATTCTCATTTTTAAGTTACGAAAATACAAATTTGATTGGAAAAATATCAAAAACACCAAATTATTGAAAACTAAAATAGATAAAACATAACCTACCTCGAGATGGGCAAATTTCCCAATTGGGCCAACCGATAAAAATCGCTATACGGCTGCCAAATTTTAGTTTCTTTCTAAAACAAAGTTATTCTCATTTTTAAGTTACGAAAATACAAATTTGATTGGAAAAATATCAAAAACATCAAATTATTGAAAATTGAAATAGGCAAAACATAACCTACCTCGAGATGGGAAAATTTCCCAATTGGGCCAACCGATAAAAATCGCTATACGGCTGCCAAATTTTAGTTTCTTTCCTTCTCTCTCCCCTCTTTATTCTCAATTCTCCCGAATGATTCTCCGGAAATAATAAGAAAAATGGGATTTAAATGCTAATTTAAATAAAATCTATAATGGTTTCTGATTTTTATTAAAATAATATTATTATAATTAATTTTCAGTATAAAATTCATAAAAATTCTTTTAAAGTTCCAAAAATTATAGAAAATCTCCATAAAATAGCTTATTTAATTTAGAAAATTTTGATGAAATCGGTTTGTAAAACAGACACCTGACGATTCCAAAACCCTCACTTATACCGACATATGCCAATTTCTTAAAAAATTGCACCAATGTCTAAGAATTATGAAAAAATTAGTGACACTAAAACATCATAATAGATATGTTATGGCGAAGACGGTTTGTGATTTAGATTTATAATGACTCCTAAATAAATTCTTGATTGTTGTAGGTAAAAATATATTTTTCAAAATTTTGAGTTATAACACTGTATACCTCTTTTTGAAGGTGTGTTGGTGCATCATAGCTCAACAAAATTTGCAAAGGACGCCAACATTAGTTAGATGGGAAGGGAACTTAACCTCTGCCTTGTTCCTTGCATCTCCTTCCTTCCTAGCTTTAGACGATTCACAATGCAATTTGACATTCGCTGGAAGGGCAATAAGGGATGGAGGCAAATGAAATCCGTGGGATAGTGGTTTCTCTAGTTCTGTGGAACCACATTTGTATTTTATTTTATGCTCGCATGCCAAATAACACAAGTAGTAATTTTATTTCTTGACCTTTATGATCATGATTCTTTATCAATCTTCATAAACTGTTCTTTGTATAATTTTTATTTTAGTCTCTCTTATAAATTTGATTGTTTTCCTGACTTCTCTTTCAAAGTACACTTTAATCATCCTATTTGGATTTTCTTATGAGCTTTGGAATAAGCTTTATTATTTGATGTCAAAGTTGTATCAATCCTCAATTTCTTTTCATCCGGGCATGGGTCTAACAACGTTGGTTTTACTAGAAATACAATTTGAAATACCGAATTATTCTCTCATAGTTTTGATTTTCTGTTTTTGATTTTGAGTGGCTTTGGAAAAAATCCTTCTTCCTAAGGTTATTTGTTGAAGTTAAATAGAAATAATCTACCCGTTGTTTGGCTGGTATTCATAAATTTCAAGCTCTTAGTTCTCTTTCAGCTTGAACGTGATATTGGTAGATTAAACAACTGCAAGGATCGAATGAACTTCTGTCCACTTGGTGCTTGTGCTTTGGCTGGTACTGGGCTTCCAATAGATAGGTTCATGACTTCAAATACTTTGGGCTTTACAGCTCCAATGAGGAATAGGTATGTTCATGCTTTTTCCATGGTCAGCCCATTTGTTGCAAATTAAAGGCCCTTGGTATTTTTTTCCCTGGCTTATTAGAATCTCAGTATGCTCTTGGTTCAAACTGTCCTACGAAGATTATCAATATTGATTATCATTCTGTTAAGAATTGAGGCACAGTTACGTGGAGTTATTTATTCTTCTTTAATTTGTGATTTGTCTTGTGAAACTTCAATATTGAATTTGTATAGTCTTTTTGTGCTATGTACTAAGACTTGGCTGCAAGCATAGCCAAGTGGGGTTAATCGAGTTAATTCTAAAAATGGCATCTATTTAATCCAAAGAAGCATTTAACAATATGCATTAGTGTGAAGTACTTTTACTACCAATTAATGTTAATATATGATAAACTAATTGGGTTTGAGGACCAGAAGTATTAGCCATGCATTATAGGTGAAAGAAGGTTAAAACAAATAGAGTACAGGAAGCAACTTCTACGCCGGAATACGTCCCCCAAACAAGATGCCTATCTTTTCCTAGTTTGGTACCTTTGGGAGCACACTTCCATTCCCAAGCTTAGATTTTCTGTAGTCACGGCTAATGATCTAAATCTTTTGAGCAATATGCAAATGTAATAGATATAAAATATTTAGATGATATATGGTTTAGGGGAGTGTATTGCATTCTAAGTGCAGGGGTTTAAAAGTTTAAGTGTTTAGTTGACTGAAAAATAAATTCAAAGTATAGTTTTGAAGAATTTTAAATTATTCCCTTTGTTCTTTTTTGGTGTATTCCAAAATTTTTTAATTTGGACAATTTCTAAATACGCAATGTCACCTTTCCCCACCCATGGCCGTTGTCTTCCATCATCACCCTCATCCCTCCTGTACTCACTCACAACCTAGCCGAACGACCCACTCTTGCATGCATATGCCTCACTGACTCACCTCATCCTTCCTCTCACGTGCGCGACTCTAGTAGGTCGAACATGCTGCCGCCCTTCCTCTTTGCACGCCCAACCTAGCAGCCGGCCTAACTCGCCACCACCAGCTTCCCCAGCCCAACTGTTGTTGGCCTAGCCACCTGCCTCCTCTCCTTTTTTTTCTTCTTATTTCTTCTTCTTTTCTTCTTTTTAGGCCCTAACACCTTCCTACACCTTCAACTTCAACCTCTTCCCTCTTCCACAAACCGTAACCCTCAAAATCTCTACCTCATCCACTCATTCTCAATTTGTCTGGCTAGGCTTAAAAAGAGAAAATTATTTCTCCTCTAAAGAGAGAAAGCTCAGTTTCTCTCTCTAGTCCATTCGTAGGCCCCTCAATGTGGATAACTAACTCTTGAACATCCCTCTCCCTCACTACTATTGTTCTCTCTCTAGAAGGAGAAATAATTTATTCCGTTTCCTTATCTTTAGAAACAGAGAGAATCCCCTTCTACCTCTCTCTCTAGAAAGAGATGCCCCCATCCCCTATTTCTCTCTCTAAAAAATATATAATATATTTGTGCATCTCCATCTCCTCGTTGTTGTCGTCGTCGCACACTTTGAGGTACAGCCCTCGCAAACCTTTAAAACTCTAAAATATTCTGGTTTCAACTCGTTTGGTGCGATGGGCGCAACCCGTACATGCTTTTCTTTGTCGGTAAATGAAATTTGTAGGTGACGCTCGCGACGAACCGATAAGAATTATGCACATTTTGTTACGGATCAATGGTTTATGATTTTGATGATAGCAAACATTTTTATTTCTTTACGACTGCCTTATATACTGACATTTTAGGTTCACACGATCGGACTGTAATTTGGAACCAGCTCAAGATTGGGTATACTAGGTCGAGTCAGTTTGTACACTTTTTTCTTTCTTGAGTCTATTGTATTTATTGTGGCTCCTGATGCTTTGTAACGTATAAGAGTTTCTGACTGTTCCCTAGAGTTTAATGTTTTTGATAACATCGTCCTGGACGATATTTATATCGGCCGGGACGATATGTTCAAAAGCAGAAACCCTAATTAGGGCATCCTCATTAAAGCAGCCGTCATTATGCAAAACACATCGTCCTGGACGATTTTGTATCGGCCAGGACGATAGGCTCAATTCAGAAAGAATCTGCCACCAGATATACTTAGGAAATTCTTATTTTTGGATATCGGCCTGGTGGATCGGCCTGAACTATAAAATATCGGCCAGGATGATCCAGGACAATTTTTCCAAAATTTCTCTGGCAATTTTGGAAAGCAATTAATTGTGATTTCATCCGGGCCGATCGCAAGATCGTCCGGGACGATTAGACATCGTCCAGCTTCATTTCAGGGCGATATTCAGGACAAATTAAAAGCACTACTGACTAAGCTATCTCAATGAATATATGAATGATCTCACAAGAAGGTTTTAAAATTTTGACAGTCTAAATGATCAATTTAAAATATTCAAAATTTTGAACACGAATTGATATGGCTGCTACTATAACACTGATATGACTAGCCAGAGATGGAAAGAGAAACCAATCCCCAGCGGAGTCGCCAGAAATCTGTGGGCTCCGAAAATTCGGCCCCGGCCTCCGCTCGCTTTTCTTATTCGGCGAGGGAGTTTTAACGAACTAAGTTCCGGGGTAAATTTTGGAAGGCAGATGGGTTTGTAGATAAGACACTACCCAGAGATTTCGCCCTCATTTTGTGAGGACTTTATGATCTGAGTTCTGGTTTCCTATAGGCGCAAGCCCCTATAGTTAATTACCCCTCTCGATCACGAGAGAGAACTTTCGATTAAGGCTAGTCGTCAATCAGATACGTATAGAGAATACGAGTTATCTGGCATATAGTAGCAGCATGGATTTGGAATTGGAGAATTCGGAAAGTATTGAAAATTTTGATATTTAAAATAGAAAATTTCACCACCTAGCACTTAAAACGGATGGTGGGAGAATGGATGATAGACCCGATCAAGATCCCATGGTTCCGTCGTTCCGGGCCATCGTGGTCCCTGGTCTACTTAGTCAGAGGAGGTAGTCGACCCAACCTGACAGAAGGATCCTTGTCGGCAGCCATGGGTTGCTTCGTCCAAGGGGACCTTGTAGACCTGGGATAAATGTTTGTCTAAGGGGACAAATTTAAATCCACCTTAGCTAACAGAGGGCTTTGTGCCCTATCGATCATATCCTATTGATTCATATCTCAAGGATTTAACGCCATTAAGGAGCGTATTGGCTCTGGCCATAACCGCTATCTGTGGTGCCATTTGGCGGCAAAACCACTCGGTTCAGAGGGCCCCGGGTCATAACCATTTACCTGCAGTGCCATTTGGCGGCGAAATTGCCGGTTAGAGGACACGTACCACGTCCTTATTAGCAAGAGAATGGATCCTAGTGATATTTTCGACTAGGCATTTGGCTCTTTGTGAGCTAGAGTTTATTTGAATTTGTCCACCCCGGCAGACTGTTGCGGAGGGTGGATGGACTTTGCTTTAAGTGTTGGGATGGATAGTTTTGGGATTTTGGGATTTTTGAGATTTTTGGATTTTCTGGAGTTTTGAGTATTTTGGGTGGTTTTTGAAAGTGTTTGGAATGGACCCCTCCGGTTGAGATAACCAATCAATGCGGCCATCATCGGGGTGTTGTGGGGTCATTTCTCTTTATGGATTGAACCTTTGTCAACTCTGTCGGGCTGTTGACAGAGGATCGGGTTTCGTAGGCTTTTTGCCCTTGTAAGTGAATTCTTTTGATTAAAGGCTTTGGAGGCCTGATATGAATGTATTAAAACAAATATACTGGTCCTCTCAACCGTGTATTTGTTTGAGAGTTCGAACCTTGTCGACTCCTATTGATCCGTATAGGAGGATCGGGTTCGAACAAGAATTCACTTGTCAGCCCGCGCAGCATCCCTAGATGTCACGTGTGTACCAATAACACGCTCGTCGGGGCCCTTGCGGGTTTAGGATTGTATTTTACCCCTTTTTAGTGTACCTATGTGTATACAAATTACAGTGCACGTGCTGGGGTATTTTGAAAGTATTCGTAGACGCCTTCTGTCCGCTTGCATAGAAGTTGCGGATCCGGTGGCGTGGCATTGTAATTTGCGGACGCCTTCTGTCTGCTTGTACGAGTGTTGCAGATTCGATGGCGTTTTGATCTTGATGTTGTGAGGCATCTCCTCATTTTGATGTTGACTTCCCCCCTTTTCTCATTCACCCTTGATATTGACTCCCCCTTTTCTCATTCACCGGGGATAGCTTTTTTCTGGTCTTTGAAGTCAATGACCACAGCTTTAAAGAGAGCTTTCAAGCTCTTTAATGTGGTGGATTTATTATTTCTGATATTTGTGGAGGCCAGAATTAGTTCCTTTTTTAGTACAGAACCAGGAAGATATACGTACTTGTGCCCACAGTGGTTCGTTGTGCATATGACATACACACTGTTGTTATCCACAAGTTGCTTGTGTTCGCCGGCAGAGGACTGTTGTATCCATTACAACATTCTGAAGGTATTTGCAGAAGACCCATTATTTCCGCACCTTATCCACCCTTTCAGCAATTTCGGGTGGTTGGACGATTGCATCTGTTGTAGGGACAAATCTTTGGTTGTTAGATATGAGTAGGAGTTGTACACCTTACAACTGTTTGTTTCTATAGTGCATTGACTTGGTGGGGATTGTTGTATCTACTACGATCTCCGTAGGAGAGTCATTTGTACCGGTACCAAATCCACCTTTCACCAATCTCAGGTGGGATTGCTGATGAGTTTGCAGTTGCTTATAGGGACGGATCTTCCATTATTGGTCTTCAGCATCGCCTTATTCAATAAACAGGCATTTGTAGAGATTTTTGTAGGAGTCCATTACTCATGCGTTGTATCCACCTTTCGCCAATTTTAGGTAGTATTTGATGATTGCATTTGTTTGTGGGATGTAGGGATTCTCTCTAACCCCATCAAGAATTTTGTGTGTATGAGAGGTTCAAATGGATCATGCTTCTTAATTATCGCTTCTCCATTCGATGTTCATCTGAATGCATGTCATATGATACCTTGG